ATTTTTGAAAATTACGAGAATTTTTAATACATAATTAATAAACAATTAATTCCCAACGTTTAAACAATTTCAATTATCTATTTATAAACGACGAATGTTCAAAAAAATGATAATGCAAAATGCAATTCGACTGACGTTGAATATTTATAATATTTTTTTCAAATTTTTCTCACCCACTTTAATTGACAAATTTGATGATTGAAAATGATTGAATCTGTAGTGTTGTCTGTACCAAACACTAAAATATACTTGGACATCCTTGAATTGAAGAGCATTCATATTCACCAAGAGCACATTCCTCCATCACCCAAATTGCTGCTCAATTATTTAAACCTGAAGCGAACAAATCTCTCAAAAATTCCTGAATGCTCCTCACTTCTCCAATAATATATTCCCCTAATAGAATTTTTCCTCATCCCAATGATGATGAGAAGTCATCGAAATGCCCACTGGCTCCGAATTGATAATTAAACATCCCCAAAAAAACATTCGTTAATCAATAACTCGAAGTATGAATTAATGATCGCCCATGGTTGGCTCCATTTATTATCCATCCGAAGACATACACCTCATGAATGCCCAATAATCCGTCACTCTACCGAGCAAACGAGCGCTCTCTTCATGAATCACGTGGCGCCAAACTCCCCAGAGTGAAAACCATATATATTTCCAAGTATACATTATAACTATAACGTTATAAGCTATGAGGTTTATACAGATACACTCACCCCTCCCACCGAGTTTCTCCCTCATTTGTGTGTGTGGGGACGGTTAACCCGGTCTTGTTGTCTCACTCCAATGTAGTCGCTTTCACTTCGTCTACTAACTCCAGCTACCAAGGAGCACTGGAGAAGAATAAACACCGTGAGACCGAGTCTCGATAACTCTGGCCATTTTACGAGCTGTCTTCTCCTCCTTTCAGGGAAGTCGAATTGAGAAGAAATGGAGATTTTTGTAGACAAAGGGAGATAAACATAACAATTGGATATTTTATTTATGAAAATTGTAGCGCTTGATTTTTCTTTTTAATTTTGTTGATATAATTATGAAGATCAAAATTTTTTCTATTAAAACTTAATATTCACGTTTGTTCGAATTAAAAAGGAAATTGTGGAAACTCGTCGGTGGTTTTGCCACATTTTTACTATTATTGACTTTATTGTTCACGATGAAAATTGAAGATTTTGAAGAGTAAAACGTAATATTATATTGCAATGTTTTTTGAATTTAATGTTTGATTTTTATTAATCCAACGCCGATCGGATTGAATTTTCACTCAATAGGAGTTTTCCACACTATTTCTTATGTAATGAAATTTCTTAAGTAATGAAATTATTCAAGAATCTGGTTAAAATACCCTTTTGTCCACGATGAAATCATCCTGTTGAAAATGTATTCAACATTTCCCCCTAAAATTTAATTCTCTACCAATTTCTCCACATTAAAAATCGATGAATAATGAAGACTCTACATATCCCTGTCAACATTACGCACCGAACGAAGTTGAATCGATAGTGAAAAAGGTTCAGAATAGACAGAACGATTCAAAAGACGCGAAAGGCGTTCACTATCCATTTAAAATTCCCTCAGCTTCAAAAAAAGTTCTTCATCACGCAGAAATGTCAATGTTCCAACAAATCACTAGTTTCTCCACATAAAATTTTAGGATGTTTAGCCAGTGTCGGTAAATTGTCAGTAAATGTGTTTGTTTTCATGGTCAAGGAAAAATCTGTCATTTTTTTGGCTGACAGGAGAACATATAAATAGTATTTTCCGGCCTGTTGCGATGGGGTTTTTTACTCGTGTGGCGTTGGCCTCCGAGCCGTAGGCGAGGACTGGCCAACCACACGAGTAAAAAAACCCCATCGCAACAGCCCAGGAACAATATTTTTCTGTAGTGATTTTCAAGTTTTCGAGTTTGGCAAGTATGTAATACCAATTCCCAGACGAGAAATCGTGAGAAGCAGTACAGAAAACTAACTTTTCTGACGTTAAAAAAAATTCATCGTAGTAGTCTCGGTAGAAATGAAAAACTAATTTTTCCGTATACACGGGCTCTTATGAAATTTATGTTCAAATTGATAATTCACTTGTCTATTTCATTTCTAACTAATGACCAGGGGTTGGTGAATTGAAATTTGTATTAAAATGAACGGAAAATCTTCATCTCTCAGTTGAAAAAAATCACTTTTTGTTCAAGTACTTGCGAGTTTGGATAAACATCCTTAACCCAAACTGCCTCCCCCAACACTCCACCTCGCGCCCCCCGAAATTCCCCCCAAAATCAGTGCCCACCATCCAATAAATCAATCAAAAACAAAAAACCCATTGACGAAATACCAAACACTCACCCAAAGAGATCAGCATCTCCGACTCGACGGGCTCCTCCACCGATTGGATTGTTTATCAGAAGATCCAGAGATTATTCATCCCAATATGAACCAGAGCGTTATTGAAAACAATCGATCACCCGAAATCGCGAGATCTCGAAGACACCTCGGGCCCCCTATCTTATCACCTCGTGATCTCGTCAGGAGGCGTGTCATCTCAATCCCCCTCTCGCGCATGTAGCATTTCCCTTCAGTCCCATAGGAGTAGAAAGGCCCCTATAAAAAAAATCCGAAACCCAAGAAAAAAGACATTCCTCGATGTCTGGGGACCAGCTAATAAAATCGTCCTACCTTGATTCCTCATATATACAGCGGGGAAAAAAACGAAATATTAAAGAAAAATATATGTATAAGAAGGAGGATTTTTTATCTGATCGAATCATCTGAATATCGAGCAATAAAAAGTGAAGCTTCCAGATTGTATCTTTCTCTTCTTTACCGTAGGTGGAAAGGTGGAATCGAGGGGCAGGGAGGGGGGGGGGGGTAAGG